GCCGTTCGATTTATCCACCGCTTCAAAAAATACTTTTATTTAGTTTGCAATCCGAGCGTTATTTAGTGTAACGTGACTTCAAACGGCTGTATATTCGTTCTTGTCGCAGACAGGGAGAACTGTTGTTAGGGAGAAGTTGTTGGGTACTTTATACGCTGTGAAAATGCATCCGGCTGAAATACCAAAGAACTCGTAGCTCCAGAGATTTGTAAACCTTCGTTGAATTCGCTTAATGTAAAATGAGAAAAGATCAACTTTAAACTCTTGTATCGTTAGTATCATTAAAATAAAGATTACTCCTAAAAGGTTATTAAATGTTTATATAAAGGAATCATTGAAATTTTAAGAAATTAAGAAATTTCAAATCATCAATATATTTAGTAATAATATAAAAGTTTGAGATAATAAATTTAACCCATAATTTTTTAGATAAAATGTCAGGAAAGTTTCAATTTTAAATTAAAAATAAATTCATCTTCCTTATATTTGCGAAAGATTTTAATAACAAGATGCTCCTATCTTATGCTTCATTTTTTATGGATTTTTATTCATTTATTAATTTATTAATTTACTTATCATATAAATTTTTTCTTTTTACTTGTAAATATCTAAAGGGTATAAAACATAATACAGAGAATTTAGTTCAAATAAGAACAATGGAAAATAAATTATTTCTTTCATTACTGCGTATATGAAAAGGATTTTACTGAAATATTAAAAAATTTAGCTAGACAGATCTAAAAATAATTTTGTTGAACTATCAAAATAACGATTAGAATGCTCAAACTGTAATATCAATTTTTTACGACGTCGCTCATCATGCTTGAAACTCCTATTTATTTTGATTGACGGTCCAACAAAATTTTATAAGTTGTAGATACTTCAATCATTTTTTCCATGTACATAAACTTGATTTTGTTTAATTTGTTATAATAAAATAATAATAAAAAATAGTCTTACTCATTTAAATAAATTATGAAAACATGAATGTTACAACTTTTTATCTCGTAAATACTTAAATTACAAAAAGCCATTTTGTACCTTAAAAGGAACATTATGTTAGAGTGTCGAAAAATGGGCGGCCCCCCCTGAATTCTTCAAGAAGCTTTTCTCTGCGGTGAAGATCGAGCGATGCATTATACCTTTCGAAACGGGTAAAAATGCGAAGGATCAAGCGTCCGAATTGCGCGTCAGCTGATTGAATGGCAGCCGGTGACGTTACCGAAAGGCACCGCGCCACGCGACACCTTCGCCGAAATATGAGGACATAAATTCCCGCTACGAGGCTGACCTCCAAATGGCTACCATTAAGCACCCCGAGATTCCCATTTCGATTTTAAAGTATCGAGATCATGATCGAACGATCCTTAATGGCTCCCATACAAAAGAGGTGCCACGATCAGTGATCCGAACGCATTCATTTTTCGTGCTTCAACACGTACCCAATAACTCTTAAACTAAGATTTTAACTCTCAGAGAAAGAGACTGAAAAAATGTAATTTGAAAATCGAGGAATCTACAGATTTAGAAGAAACATACGCGTATGAAAGAGATAAAAGATTAAAAAATTAATTCTTCAGTTAAAAAAAGACAATTGAAGAATTGTGAACCTCAACGAACCAACAAGCTAAAAATTTAGGGAAACAAATATTAGGTAATATATAATATTTTGCAACCAAAAGATCCCGGCACTTCTCCAAATGTGAGAAGCCATGTAAATGCGGCGAGAGAAGTTCAACATTTGCAGATCTCTAGATTATGAGTCTAAGAAACTTATGTCGCTCTAAAATTCGACAATTGCTAGACTTTCCGTTTAACGATCCACGAATAATAAGCATATTCGCCGTCCTGAAAACGACTTCCAAATTTCGAAAACTAGAAACATAAACATTAAATTCATTTTGGATGGTCTTTAATTCTTACACGCACACGTGGAACACAGTGAGATACAATTCTATATATACATATAATTTTATATATCACGTAATACTGAAAGCTTTGCCAGAGTCTAATTTATAATTAGCGAAACATATATAATTCAAGACTTTTTTTCATTTATAATAATGTCGCAAATTCAACATACAAAATAAACATAACTTTATTCCAAATATTGTCTTTAATTATAACGCAACTATCTCCCGTTTCTTTGATAATTGCAAACACAATTAACTATAAAAGGGGAATGATCAAAATTTTATGAAAAAGATTGGATGTTTTAGTTATTCCGTCGTGTTGCCAATCTAAGTAACAACTTGTGAAAAGCAACGCAATTAGACTAAGTATTGGTGATGATCACCGCAGCGCGAGCACGCACCTCCGCGACGTGACCGGCGTCCGGTCCGATTCGAAAGAATCGCGAGTCCATCCACGTAACATAAAATATAGTAAATCGGGCAGAGAGTAATGCCCGGCTCGTAAATAACATGACATATGTTCGTTGGAGGCACGGCTGGCATGTACGCGTAAATCTCCTGGTCTCACCGATCGATAAAACGCCGCTCACTCGCTCGTTCACTCGCTGGAGCGCGCGACGCGGTCGCTTCTGGCCGCTGCACTCGCGATCGCTCGATCATTTGCTCCTAATAAATCAGGCGAGTGTTAACGAGTGCAATTAACAAGCACATTTTTTTTGTTTCCTCGTTGCGGAATGAAATTAGGTACGGCGCTACGTGAATTTGGCCAGCTTATTTTTTAAGCCACGCGGCAAATTAGACATGTAATCGTGCATGAAACTTGATGGTTATTGCTACCTTTCTAACTCTACGTTACAAAATATTGGTGTTACAAATCAAAGATGTATGCGTTTTAAATTGATTGCTCATAAAAAAGTAAAATATATAAGGTGTTTTTTATTGCATTAAACTTTACGAAGACTCTTTTTCTCGTTTTCATCAAATATTAAATAACATATATTTATCTCACTTTAAGTTCCAAAAATGTACACTAGTTTGACCATAGACCCATAAATTGTATCGTCATTTTTTATGAAGCTAATAGTTTCTTCCTGTAGCTGAATTAGTATACACTTTTGGATCTAAAGCGAAATAAATATATTTGAAATAGATATGTTTGGAATTTGGCGAAAGCGAGAAAGTTCTGTATAGTGCAATCTAATGCAGGAATAAAAAATAGATCTTAATATGTGTATAATTAAAAATCGAGCAATACAAAGTATAATAAATTATTTGAAAACATTACATAATGGAAACGTGGTTCTTTAAAAAATTTCGGGTATTTTCGGAAATTGAATTTCGCGAAATTACGGTTAAATAACCGAAGAAACGTCCAATTTTTCCCGTGTATAACCTCCATCATTCCGCTTTACGAAGTTTCAGCCGATTTTGCAATTATCGAAGAAAAGTGGGGACAATTGCATTTGGCTACGACAAATCGCTGTACACTGAGTGGACCGGAAAAGGTACAAGAAGAGAAAATAGCTCCGGAAGCGTGCGCAATATCAAGTCTCACGTTCGACAATTTGGAATGGTTATGCCGAAATCGGTTATTCGCCAAGAAATTGACAAGCGTCGAAATATTGTAAAAAACTGAAAATAGTTGATACAGAATGTCTCAGAATTTCGATCGAGAGAATGTATATTAGAAATTATTTTTTCCTTGATAAAAAAGAAAAAAATTATTTTCCATCATTTCTCAAATTTGTAGCAGTTAACATTTTAACAATGAAAATTTGAAGTGGAAATTCTGCAAAATAAATATCGTTTCTCAAATAACAGATACGTTTTATTTATTACTCATTTTGATTCCTAAAATACATTAATTTGCGAAAGAATCGATCTTTTCACAGAAGTTTATAATCCAGAATTAATTTTTATAACGTCTCTTGATATTTTCAGTAACAAAAATCGACTTTAATTTATTAAAAAAAAATATATGTATATATACCAACTTTTTGCCAATTCAAACATTCTCTGCATATACATATTCATTCATTTCACGTTTAAGCAGTCTTTTAATATTCCTATCGGCACTGCTACATCCGTATATTTGATGAACTTTATAATTTGTGATAAACAAATTCTGAAAACTGAATGATTATACAAATTTACGTTTAATAAATTGTCGAGTAATTTAATAATCATATTGCAATCTCATCGCGAAAGTATTTATAATTGCAGCATCAATTATTTACAATTGTGTTGTTCAATTAGCAATTTTAATCCGTTATCATTTTTCTCAAGACTAATTAACTATTTGACATGATGGTCAATTCTATAAATTCAGCGAAATCATAAATTCTGAAATAATTTGTATGGTACTGTATTTCTATAGAAGTTTACCACAAGGAAACATTCTGAGATCCTATCATCGTTAAAAGCATGTAATTAAAATTGACGAGCAGCAATCACGAGTTAACAAGGTACCGGCGCAAAACTATATCCCATTCTTTCCTCGTTCGCCCACTCTCGCATTTTATACTAACGCTAGCTTCTCGATTGACGTTTCATTATATACGCAAAAGAAAAATCGCGATGGAAAGGAAAAGAAAGATATTTTTATATCGTGACTAAATTGAATGATTAACTTTCCAATGCAATGTTGAGCAAACTAAAAGTTTAAATGTTGTTTAAACTAATGCCAACGTATTGAAGAAAAGATCTGTGTGTTATCAACAATTATATATTCACTTACTGAAACTTGTACAACTCCTTTATAGCTATGCTTAAAGTACATTGATGTACGATAATATTTCATTGTAAGTCGAAGTGATTATGGGTGTTCAAATAATTATAATTGGCTGCGCATTGACGAGTTTAAATTTACACCGAACTTAACATGTACAATCGCGCGAATTAGAGCGTGTTCTATTTCGTGCAATCAATTGCCGGTATATTACCGCGATACGTCGCACGTGCAATTTCTGTATTAGATTATACGATCGTGCCGTGATTAATTGCGAGTTGCAGTTGTACGCGCAATTATTACTCAGTGGAAAACAGACAGAAATATATCTATATATTGCGATTTGTGTTAAAACTTACTTGTGAATCGCCGACTTCGGACATGCACGATCCACGCACTCAGTCCCAAGATCGATCCCCACCTCGATGCTGAAATGAAAAATACAGATTGATGTATTATAATATAGCATTGAATCATCAATATAATCACGCAGAAAAATGTTTGGTTGAATTAATTGGGATTCTGGTGAAAAATGAATGATCTAGAATTCTGGCTAAATTTGCTAGATTTCTGGTTAAATCAGTTGAAATAGTCAACATTTAGAATTTCCTGATTAAATCTACTAGAATTCTAATAGAGATGTAACAGAAATCTAGTTGACTTAATTAGAGAATTCTGAATCGTTCATTTTCCATCCCAGAATTCCAGTTAATTCAATCAAACATTTTTCTCCGTAATATAATTTAGATATTGTATTCCGATTAAAATAAAAATTAGTTCTTCCAGAAAAATATCGTGTGTCATACGTCTTTCTATTTCTGAAATAATTCCATGTTTTAGTCTCATAGTATCAAATCTATTTCAATATTAAGTAAATAGCGAAAATAAATAACGATCTAAATTATTGAAGTATATTTTTAGAATCATTAAAATTGTTCAAAGCGGTATTTATGCTTCTTTTTATAAGAAAAGTTAGACTTTTTTGGCGTATTTTGTTGCATATGTTCTACTTTATTTCAAAAAGCGCAGGGAATTAAAATCAGCAATAGTCCCAGTCTATAAAAAAAAGTTATTTCCGCTTCTCTCATTTAAATGTTACGTCGTTTAATCTTCGCCAAATTCTTTGTGTTAACAGCCGTAAAACGTTTCGCCTCGAAGTACTCACTTCGACATAAATCCTCTCCGTTAATTGCACCGTACGATCGCGCGAGTAATTTAAACTCGTCCGCTCACCCCGGTTGGCGGCCTGACGAAATAATATTCCGGCTAAATGGCGGCTCGTGAATCCCGTCCGAATGCGCGATAAAACCAATGCCGGCAACGTGTTTACAGTTTTACGAGGTGTCAGCGAAATGCACAACGCGAGCGAGCTACATCCGCGTAACATCATGGACTTATACGATATCCTAAACTTTTTTTGCCATATAATACTCTAGATTATTAACCGTCCATTTTTTTCTACTATGTTAATTCTAATTTTGCTATTATTATTATTTATAATTTTTAAAAGAATTATTTTGAATTTTTGAATGTAGTAAAAAAAACATTTCATAAAATTTTTATTTTTATAATAAATAAAAAATGTGAGAGAGAGAGAGGAAAAGAGAGAATATGTGTGTGAATATAACAATAGTTGTATTATAATATAAAAAAATAATGCAAGGATATAATACGTGAGAGATTTGTAAAAAATTATATAAAATTCTCTCATATAATTAATTATGATAGATAAAATTCCTGACTCTTTCATAAGCTTTATCTGATCTAGGAAAAGAACTGCAATTAATCAATGACATAGTCGCTTAAAATCTAATCAATCTATGGCGAGAAAGTTTACTTGTTATAAAAAATATATAAATTTGAGATATAATCAATATGGAGTTTTCTGTGCCTTGTCAGTTTTCTTCAAATTCTTCTCCTTGAGAATATCTTGGTATGCTATTTATATAAAAACATGTGCTTGTAAAATGTGACATTGTACGAAATATAATTAATGTCACAATTGAATAATTAATCTCCTAATTAGCTTGGTTAAACAGGCGATTAGCAGCAGCTGTTACGTGACATTGGCATGTCTTGGCCAGTATTTGATGTCGTGGGTTGCGATTTCATCCCTCTCTCCTCGTCAGCCTTCCTTGACATTGCGTGTCTCCCCGAGGGCTCCTTGAGCGTCTGATTAACTTGGTATGAAATTATGTCCCATCTTTATACCCTCCTTAATACACCTAGACTTATGTGTAATATCTAAGAACTCTATGATTCAGAGGACTTGAGTTATTTAAGCATCTAAAATCTCCCAGATTTAATAATGTAATTTATGACACATTACAATAACTTAAAAAACAAAACTATGTGTGTATATATATATACACACACACACACACACACCAATATGTGTATTGTATACTTACATATGTAAGTATAATATAATATAATAAAAATTTTATTATCTGAAAATTTAAAACTTCAAGACTTTAATATTCTAAAAATAATTCTGTGCAAAAACAATTTTTATGACTAAAACCAAATATATCAAATAAGATTAATATTTAGATTACATTAATGTCTTCAAATTTTACAAATTTTATGAAACCTGTTTTATGAAAAGTATGAGAAGTCCAAGTTTAATTTTAATTTTTTCATTTAATTATTTATGTCTGAAATCGTTACGTTCAAGTTTCTCAGAATCAAACAGTTCAAAAGTTTAATTTATTCAAAGTCACAAACAGAGCAAACTAAATAAATTTAAACATTTAAAAAATACAAAATACTTTAGTCTGTATTTAAAACTTGAAACAGAAGCACTGAGATTACACCGATTAGATCATTTATTATGTCAAGCCCTTCGTCATTTTCTAAAGCTACCCTTGACTCAACGTCAAATTCCTCAAGCCCTTCATCTCTCCCTTAACAGTTCGCACCTCGACTCATCCCCTCAGCCATGTCGGTTGCAAGACGCTACAGCTGCACCTGCAGTTCTCGCGTGCATCCGCAAGAGGAGGTAGAGGAGAAGGATTACTGGGAGGATGGGTATATGGCGTGGGATGATTGTGGGGGCAAACGTAGGTGGGGGTGGGTCGTACATACGCGGCCGGTGCATGCGGTAATGGCGGTGCATACGGTGTACCAGTCAAACGCATACCGTATTGATTTTAATATCTGTGTAGGAAGCAGAGGAAGAGGAGGTGAAGAGAATAGAAGAAGAAGGAGGGGGAGAAAGAGAGAGAGAGAGAGAAGAGAGAACAGAAAGGAATGCAGTGGAAGAGGAAGCTTTTACACGTCATTTAGGCACCTGTGGCTGTGACTTCTGATGCGTCAGCATTTTATTCGCGTATTAAGGCGCATTGGCAAGTTTATTCAAGTCGATTTACTTTTGTGCAGAATCACAAATACATTATACACACATTTCAACATCCTCTTTTTTACGTTCACTAAAACGTAATCTTATTCACAACATTATTTTCAAATCAAGTTTCATAAAATAAAAGCAATAATTTTTTAGAAAGACATTGTATAAAGAACTTTATTTTAACATTGTCCCTACTCCGTGATATGAAATAGATAAAATAACTATCCCTGAATATCGTCTAAAATTAATTTGCTGATTTAATTAAAAATTCGTTCACTCATGAAACTAATTTGAAACATGGGATTGGGTGGTAGGGTGAGATAGGTTTGTAAATGACGAACGCACTAATGGTAAGTGACAGTGGCTAATTAATTAGTATCGAATGTTCGACACAGCAAGAGCGATTAAACGCAACATCTGAAAATCCTAATCACTTACAAATTAATCCGGACAAACATACGCAGCGGCAAACAACAGTAATAGAGATACGAGTATTATGAGGGAGTTTTTGCAGTATCATGTCCAAATAACGTGACTTTAGTGTATACTGTATTTGGATACACGGTATTGCAAAAACTCCTTATTTTTAATTAAAAAAAACTCGGTAAATCTCAAAATCATTCAGATATTAAAACAATGAAAAATTTCGCGTATGTATAGTAAATAAATATGATTTAATAATTCTGTAATTCTCTTTTATTTTATTTCAGTTATTAATAAAATAATCTAAATCTTTTGTACTAATCATATTGACTAAAAGTAATTATTATTTTTAAAAAATTTATATTGCACTTAATTAGTGGAAAATATGCTAGTACTATATGTATATTCCATTATATAACGCAATTTCGGTCGATTCTATCGAATAAAAAATATAGTACATAGTGTAAATAATATAAATAATAACAACAACAAGAAAGCAATTAACCCTTATCATACCATCTACATCTTGGTGCCTCATCCATACCATCAAGGGTCACTTCAAATCTCTTCGTTTTTTCACCTCTTCAAAATAATAAAAAAAATTTCTAAAAATTCACCAACATACTTTCAACTTTCTAGAATAAATATTGATTCTTTATTTTGGAAAATAATAAAATGTAGTATAATTTATAGTTACCGAAAGACTCAAAGAAACTTGCACGAACAGGAATCGCACGGTCACTAGTTACCCATATTAGTACGGTAAGGGTTAATATAATTTTCTATATACGACTGAATTATTATTAACATGGAGGTGTTCAACCATAATCTGTACGATTGATACTAAATTTGATACATAATGCAGCTTAAAATAACGAGATAAAAGAAGAAACAATTCACTTGATATGCTACCGTTGTTCGTAACAATAACAAAACTTGTTACAAAGATCGAAGTATAAAAGGATTAAACTAGATACAACCTGCATCGCTTTTGTTGGTGAATTAATCACAACTTAATTGAATCTAGAGAACACTATGTACCTACCAAGCAAACCAAACTGCCCGATTTACTAAAGGTACTCATCTGGAATAATACTCCACAGCTTTATTACAATAAGATTATTTATTTAGGATCTATGGCGCAATAATTGTGGTAATATATAATTTCCCGATAATAAAGTTAATAATCATTATTACGACATCGTTAAAAGGTATTAACTGTTTATTCAATATTTAAAAATTACGAAAATTACCTGCACTACAACCAAATTTCCATGTTTACTAAAAACACTCACCTGGAATAATAATTTATGCGGCTTTACACAATGAGATTAGTTAGGATCAACAAGAGTAACCGTTGTAACAAATATATTTTCCAATAATCAAGCCGATACTTGTTATCAAAATCATTAAAAGTAATAATTGTTTATTCAATACCTAAATATCGAAAAATTATGAAGATCTAATAGGTATTATTTAGAAGATTTAATACCGTAATGATCTCGTTTATTTCTTCTAAAGTTGAAAAAATTTATATTAACTTTTTCGATGTCAACGAGATACAGATACAAACTGATACATTATGAAAAAAAATTTGTTTATTCCACAAAAATAAATTTTCATAAAGAATTTTTTAATCAATTAATGAATAATCAA